TCGTGCTATCCCTTCTCTGCATCTCTCGTGCGCGCGCTGTTGCGGTTGCCAGGGATGGGCAGGCGGGACTGAGCCGCGCCAATGCAAAATTCGTAGCGCCTGGTCATTGTCAACGCATTTACTTGCGCCTGGTGCTAGTACTGGAGTTCCGCTACCACCCAGTCCTCTTCGGCCTTCAATTGTGCCTGGCCAAACTCCAATAGGTCGTTTTCCCCTCCGCTGTGCCATTAAGGCCAGAACTGGCCGTGGCCAAGGGTAGCCACCCGCCGCACCACCTCTCGTCAATCCATCTTCACCATGAGTTCCGCCTTCACCTCCACTTCGCCCTGCGCACCCCACTTGCACCACCACTTCTTTCCCGGCGCCGCTGACACGGTCGTGCCACCACAGTCCATGACTGGGCTTGCCGTGTGCGTGTGGCCGGACGCACCCGGTCCGTCCCCAGTCAAGCCACCACCACAGGTAGCTTCGGGGTGAGTTGTTGATGCCCATCCATTGGTTCTATCACCTCGGTTGTGTCTAGGCTCACTGGAATATGGCTTTCGCCGCCGCAGGGTGTCCGCCGCTGTGGTGGGAGCTCCTGACCGCGTCCCCGCTCATCTCTTCATCGCCCATCGATTTGCATCTGCATCTAGGTGAGCATCGGTCCCTTAGAGGGGGCGGGGAGGGGCCCAGATGGCTGGTGTGGCGGTCCAGTGCCATCGCCACCGTGTCGGTGCACGTGGGGGTGGCCGGAGGACCCGCTCGTGGTAAAGAAGCAAATGGGGAGGCGCTTATCTGTATAAGCGCAGACTGTAGGAATCATCGGTAGCTCAAGGGCGTTGTCGCAAAAGTGACCGGCGCGCGCGGGCCTCCCCGTCGTGGGCCGTTTCCGCGCGGATGGGCCGCGTCCTGCGTGGGCCGCGCCAGTGGGTTGCGCATGCGCGCGCGCTGCGCGTGTGTGGGCCGCGCGGGTTAAATTCATTTTTCATTTCTATAGAAGATATAAATAGCTTTATATTTTTCATTCTAAGTTGAACTTTGGAAATTAATATCAATTCATATAAGTATCCAAAAATTGTGAAATAAATTCTGTTGAGTTTCTAAAAATGTTTTCTATCTGATAGTATGGTTAGTTTATATATATCTGTGTTGATGCTAAGGTCTATTAATTCATTTGGAAGTGTTAATGTTATTTAGATTAATAATTGTAGGAATTTTTGTGGCAAATTGGTAATAGCTTTAGCCATGAAATTTTATAGTAGGTTCATTAGATTATTATGTGCTCACTGTAATTTTTGTAGCCTTACAGTAGGTTGAGAAATATGGTGGTTAAGTGCTCCTTATTGTAGTATATATATTAAATTGGTAATAAGAATAAGGATGCCTTTAGTTGCTAAGTTAATACGTGAAAATGTTTCATACCTGTTTAGTGGGAATAATAGGTAACTTAGCGTCTTAGTCATTAGAGCTAGTTTAGTAGCTTAGTAGATGCATTCTTATTTTAAGAGTTGATGTTGTCGTATTACTAAGTGTTGCATCATCATTTCATGCATGTAGATAATGAGTTGGTAGAGTTCGTGACTGCGGACGAACAGGAATACGAGGAGGTAATTGAAGAGTACGAGGAGGAGATTCTCGTACAGGAGGGAGCCCCGGAGCCACCAGTGACTGACTTTGCTGACACCACGCCTGCCCAAGGCAAGCCCCGGTGCATAACCCTTATTTTGAATGATCACTGGATATATATATGTGATGTGCATTTATGTTACAGGCATTTTATGGAAACTACATACATAGATATACCTACCTACGAGTCCTACTAGCATAGGTTGAGTAGCTGCTATGCTTAGGATTTTCGGTAGCGTGAGTAACCTACCGTTACTCACAATATGTGATTATTATTATCACTCATGATAAAATGGTGAAAGGAAAATGGAGACCGGACAGGGATATGGTACGGGTATTGGTGGACGTAAGGGGTTGTGTCCCACGGCCAATGGGGCATAGCTTGGTTACACTGTTTTCCCTGTCTGTGTTGGTTAAGGATCGGATGTTGCATTGGGTTCTAGGCAAGTCACAGACTTATTATCCTGAACACATACTTGTGTATGGGCGCAGGAAGGCTCATTGTTCTCTTGTCATGGGTTTCGGCTCTTTCTAGACCAACTGATTGGAAGCGGGGATGGTGGAGGTCTAAGTACCGCATTGAGTCAGGGACTCAGGAGCGGGGGCTTGGAGTCCAAGTTTCGACGGGGACCTGGACCCCATGACAGGAGGGTAGTGAGTTGGTCCTGCTTGTGCCTGGGGTACAAGCGAGGCGTGTGTTTCAGGGTACCCAGCTCGGCATATTGATTAGCGAATCACCGGGCGATCCGGTACAGCTTGTCTACAGTCTAGCACCGTAGTAAGAACTGGAAGATGAAAGGTAGTGAAATAGAACTGTTTGCTCAACTCTTGCTTGAAATGTAGAACATGTGCTTACATAGAATGATTAGATAATGAACTAATCATGACTGCTAATAATAAACATACATAAGGATTCACTATTAGTATTGCTTTCCGCAAAATGGAAACCCAACAAACCATAAAGCTTATCAGATCCCTTGGAGTCGGGAAATTATTCCCACTAGTCGGATAAGTCTTGCGCATACATTGTGTACTCAGGGTTTATTTACCTCCGTTGCAGGTGCAGCTTGAGGAGTATCTGTGGTGTGAAGGATTGTTCTGGTGGGCACAGACGGATCCTTGTATATTATCGATAGATGTTTATTTTAATTCTACTGTTTAATTTCTGCACTCTGAACTTGGTACTGTAATAATGTATTTGTAAGAACTCTGGTTGTATGAAATGGACTAAGTATTGTAAACTCGTTCTCATTATTGGATCCTGGAGGAAAAATGTGGATTATTCGAGTTCTTCCTTGGGGTGTGCTTGACGGAATCCGCCCGATGTAGCTTGCTTTCGGGGTGCTTAGTGTCTGGTGGAAGACGAGCGCCCCCGAAGATGTGTTAGTTCAGGCGGTTCTGTCACATTTACAAGGTAACTGCTATTTTTATGGCAGCACAGATTCATGTTTCCACCTCATTTCATAGCATAACTTGACATAATGGACATGGCCTCGCTCATAAGGATATTATAAACAGGGCATCCTTGGAAATGGAATTGTTGCTGTGAAAAGGCTTTTCAACAGCCGAACAATTAAAAACAAGATGTTCCATCGGGAGGTTTAAAGTTTGATCATGGTTAGGCATGAAAATATAGTACGTTTTATGGGTTATTGTTCTTTTACAGAAGAACGCGTATTTATATCTGAAGGAAGAACAATTATGGCCGATATACGGGAAAGATTGCTCTGTTTTGAGTACATAAGCAACGGAAGCCTTGAGAACTATCTTACAGGTATGACCTTTTTTTTTCATGATATCACTAGCTCTCCAATCCACATTAGAAGACAACAGTGCAAATAAACAGCAATCTAACATGAGTGCTTCCACCCAAAAGTATGCCAAACAACAAATTAAACTGGATCATCAACAGTGAAAACTAAATTAAAGAGCACAACAGAGAAATAATCTGATCAAGAGTCAAATTCCCTAATCATGACCACTTCCTGAATTTTAAAACAAATTTGTAAATACTCAAGTAAACGCTACCAATGTTCTTCTATTCATTTGCTTGCATACAGTCCAGTGACCAAAGCATACAACTACCTTTTCATATGATCTGGTTACTTTCTTTATCGCACCATCTTCACTACATGTAATCCTAAATTTTAAATTGCATTTGATGAATAATCTTGGACAGTCTGTACAGATAAAAAAAGGCCAACATTTTGTTCAATGCACACTTACACATACACTGGGCACACTATTATTTTGAGATTTCCAGCTTCTAAAACACTCTTGATTCTTCATATACTTTTGAAGATGAATTGAGGGGACTTGAATGGCATACTCGTTATGAAATTATTGTGGGGATCTGCAAGGGTTTGCTCTATCTTCACATGGACAAGGATATCGTCCACATGGATCTCAAACCAGCCAATATACTACTAGATGATCTCATGGTGACCAAATTATAGATTTTGGTCTATCTAGACTTGACAACAATTCACAAGCAGCGACCACATCACGTCTTTTTTCACCGTAAGTTACTAATCATACATTATTGTTCCTGGCACTTGTTTTCTTACAAGGTCATAGCGTGTTGATATGTGTGTTCTTATCATGCAGAGTATATTGTACTCCAGAATACTTTCTCGAAGGCAAATCGTCCAGCAAGTCAGATATATATAGTTTGGGAGTACTGGTCATAGAGCTGGTGAGAGGAAGTAAAAAGGAGCCTGATCTTACTAAAGTAAGAATTGTGATTATGTCGCTGTTGCATGGACATGCATGCCCTCTTTTCATCATGATGCTAATATTAAAAACCTATAATGAAATTAGTTGTGCTGGTTATTTCACTGGTAAGATCAATCTAGAATGGAAGTAGCACTTACGTTTCATTAGGGTAGGGATATTTCCAATATACAAAAAACAATAAAAGTTACTGTTTGATACTTTCCTTTCTTATATAATTGTCTACTTGTTGTGAGTCCTTTTTTCTGTAGTTTTTTTTTTATTTTCAAAACAATTACTCTGTTACACTTCATAAATTGATTGTGCATCATTTCATACAAGGATCACACAGGAATTCCACTAGAACTTTATAGGTCGTTTACTGGAAACAGTACAATTCTCAGTTGCAGGAATTAGAATACTTTGACATATTCCTGTGTTAGTATAGCCAACGTTGTCTCTGTAGTTGTATTCTTAAGCTGATATCAATATACATGTCATTTGCATTGAATATTTTGGTGCCATTTGAATGTAAATGCAGGTACTTCGAAGATGGAGGTACAGGTGGATTAAATCATCGAAGCATACACCCTTGGGTTATGAACAAGTGACAAAATGCCTCGAGCTGGCCCAAAGATGCATCCAAATTAACCTGACAGCCAGACCTCACAATATACGTAATGGATGAGCTCAACACAGTAGATAGTAAGGGTGGCCAATTCCAGGTATGCCCTATGTGCTCTGGTAAAGCTTTGACAGGCTCTGGTAAAGCTAATGGATCTTTAATTTCTCCATCACAGGAGATCCCTTGCCTGGAGGACATGCTTGGGATTGAGCCGCTGGAAATACACTTCCCCTTTAAACGTGACCCGCAGATATCACACTCAATTGAGCTGACCAACGATACGGATGATTACATTGCCTTCATGACAAAGGCAAGGTCACGCCGCTTCCGCATAGAGCCAGACAAGGGCATTGTCCCACCAGGATCCAAGTGTAGTGTCACCGTAACAACGCAAGCACAGGTCAATGCACTGCCAAATAATCGCCACAAGGAGGAGATCACCGTGCTGAGCACCAGAGTAGATGGAGGTCTTGCTGCTATGGATATAACTGGAGACGTGTTCATTGAGAAGGAGGGTACTGTGGTTGATGAGGTGAATGTGATGGTTGTTTTTGACAAACCACCACCGGCTGACGAGGAATCCTGAGAGAGTGAATGGCAGAATCAACTTCTTCTCTCTGTTTGACTCTCTCTGGAGATTGGGAATTTCAAACACTTTAGGCCCGTTTAAGAATGGAGGTGAAACGAGGGAAAAGTCTGTAGATTATTTCAAACTCTTAATTACTATGTCATTATGTCCTCACATTATTAGAATATGAGTTTTACCTTATTCATCCATCATCTGGTTCATGTGTTCGCATTCCTGTGTTTTTTTCATCCTCTATTTTGCACATTCATTCATTTTATATTCCTATATTTTTCCTCGTTCCTGTCAAGGGCGTCAAGGGATAGGGTAGGAGGACCCCGGCTACGTAGATCATAGCCGCGATCCGTGGTTAGGGGTGAGGTTTTACCCCTCAGCGCCCAGTTGTTTCAGCAGAGGAAGATTAGTGAATTGGGAAATTGTTCTTGCTTGATTATCACCATACTGAAGGGCTGTTGATTCTAGAATGACTTTGAGTCATTGCTGATCTGGAGTAGGGTTCGGTATGGCCGCCATGTCTTCTGCCAGGGCGTAGACGTTGGCGTAGGGCATGGTAAAAACCCTATGACCAGCTACTTCCATGAATTCAGGCGGAGGTTACGTGACGCAGAGGCTCTGATGGTGTCACGATCTCAACGCTGTCGTTCTGCTTCTTCATCTCGTAGGCGCTGTTCATATGTTGCCTCTGCAGCCAAGCGTCGTCGTTTAATGTCTCGACCAGTCGACTAATACCGCTCCCACTCCTCCCTACGGTGTTGGGCGCGGTTGCGGCGGATTTGCCGAGCTTTATTCTTCTTTTCCCTAGCCGTTCTCTGCTCGTCTGTTTCTGCGTTGGGTGGCGCTGTGTCCGGGGAGATGTCGGACAAGGCTTCTTCCCCGTCTTGGATTTCTAGCGGAGTAGGCATAGGGATCTGGGGTGGTTGCCTAGCCATGAAAACTTTTATGGAGTGCCTCGTCGCCGAGTGTGTTCCAGATCCTGTAGTCATCGCAGTGCCCAAAATCTCTGTAGAGTCGCAATCGTTGATGTCTGCTGAAAGAGTACTGCCATCCTGATAAGGCAAGAGTTCCACCATGCCGACTAAATGAGATGGATCTGTTAAAGAGGTGTCGGGTCGAGCATCCGGCCAATGGACGATGCCTCCTTCGGGTGTGATGGATAGAACTAATCCTCTCTGGGCACCCGTAAGAGGGATCTCTTGCTCAGACTGCAAAAGGTAGCTGATTGAATCTTAATAGGTTGAAGCTAAATTGCTGAGTCTGAGTGGAAAACAAACTTGGTCTTCGAATTGGACTTCAGATAGGACTTCCAACCCGGATAGAAGTGTCGTGTCTGGGTGGGAGTTGTGGTTGCAGGTGATCTCCTGAATTCGAGTCGGATCAGAAATTGAGAGGTGTGAAAACTTCTCGGCGAGTTGATCCAGCGTGATCGTCGAGGCATTTGGTGAAGCTTGAGGCGCCGGGATCTGCATGACATGGCTTTGGAGCTTGCCGTGGTTGTCTGCCTCGCAGATCCAGGAGCCGAAGATGAAGGTGGTTCCCGCTGAGAAAATCATGTTGTCGAGGTCCGTCGAGCTCTCGACTACGAAGTCGCCGAAAGCCCCTACCTGGCATGCCAGCTGTCGGTGTTTAATGACTGGCAACCCATCACAGGGGTACCCGGGACGGTGTTCGGAGGGCTTCGGTGTACGCAGAACTCAACGGTAAACGTAAAGAGACGAACGGTTTATACTGGTTCAGGCCCTCTTGTCTAGTAATAGCCTTTACGTCTAGTCGGCGTGTAGCCTTTTGCGTTGGATTGATTGTATGATTGTTTGGGTTACAAGGGGGGTGCACCATCCCTCTCTTTATATAGGAGAGAGGGTAAGGGCACATATCTAGTCCTAGTCAGTTGCAAGAGAAGAGTCCTAGTCCTGTTATAGAACCTAGCTTTCATAGTAAGTCGACTAAGTCAATTTGGAATAGCTTGAAGTCCACGCCACCTTGTCTCGTGTCCTTCAACAGATTGTAGGCTAGCCCAGGGCCCGTCCGGGTAGTACCCCCTGGGGAACCCCTAGGACCCTGGTCCGTCACTCTTGCCTTGTTGACATGCATCGCATACTCTATCTTTATTCGAATAATGAAAAAAGGAAGCTTATGACGGCTTAGGACCTTCTGGACTACACGAGTGGAAGCATGACCTAGCCTATAGTGCCACAAGGAAGCAGACGGCTTGATGACACCGAGCGCTTATTTATTTGGAGATAACCACAACGGATAAAGCCCCCCTTCACATCTGCCTCTGTGGAGGGTTTTCCTCGTCACCTGTTCCTTGATAGAAAAATGGTCAGGATGAAATTCAAGAAAGACATTATTGTCTCGTGTGAGACAATTAACGGAACAAAGACTCTTATGTGCTTGTGGAACATGCAGAATGTTTTTCAAGTGGAGATTAGGGGAATGCAAATAGCTATGACCAACATTAGCAATCTCCATACCTATCCCGTTTGCAGCGTGAACCTGTTCCCCGCCGTGAAACTTGTCATGGACAGTCAGCCTGTCCAGTTCTCCGGTGATGTGATCGGTAGCACCGGTGTCCATGTACCAATTCGTATCAACACCATATGAACTGGTGGCTGCGGCAGCGCTCTTCTGTGGTGGTCCTGAAAATGAAGTGTCGAACCTCTTGAAGCAACGCATGATGGAGTGTCCTTTGCTGCAGAGCTGGCAGAAGATGCCAGCCTGGAAACAGCCGCCACCACGACCGCCCTTCTGGCCACGGCCAAAGCCACCGCGGCCACCACGGTCTCCACCGCGCGCGTTGTTGTTGGAGTGGTTGCCGCGACCACCCTTGGCGGCCATGTTGGCAGAGGATTGCTGCCCCCCGCCACGAATCTCCATGTGTTGTTCGAAGGAAACGAGCTGGGTGTAGAGCTCGTTCATGGTGATGGGCTCGACGCGCGCCGCCACCGCAGACACAACCGAGTCGAATTCAAGATCCAACCCGATTAGGATATAGGAGACAAGCTCCTCATCTTTCAGTTTGCGCCCAGCCGACGCCATCTCATCAATGATTTCATTTTAGTGAAATACTCACTCATGGAGGACGCGCCATTCGACGCGGTAGCGAGCGCCATCCTTGTGCTGATGACGCAGGAAGTGCCTCGATGGCGAACCATGCCACGGACGCCGTAGTCACCGCCGTGACTTGAGATCCAATCTCACGAGAGAGGCATGTTGTCGAGGCCATGGTATTGTCCTTTTACGGGCTTATGGCCCAAGAAGCTTTTACTCCAACCATGGAGGTCATTCTTGTCCTCATAGCCCAGAAGCGCACACGCACCTAGCCTAACACTGCTCATGGTCAATGAACAAAGTGTTAAGAGGCAGGCTTTGGAGCGGAAATCAATTTTTTTAACCGTTGGCAGGGGAGCACCGTACCTATTCTTTTTTTTTTAACCTAGTCTAGAAATTCGTCCCTGTGGGTATTCGAACCTGGTCTGCTAGGGTGCTACTGAGGAGCTCCAATCACTAGGCTAAAGGCCCGTTCGCAGTGGAAATCAAATTGTTTCTCTCAAAAAAATTTATTTGCTACTAATCCATCTGCACCAGTACTCAATCAGTCATGGTTGAAATTGTCAGGATGAACACAAAAGCCGTGCATCTCTGTCTGTTTTTCGATAAATAGGGCTCACCAAGGTGATTATCAATGTCAGTCCACTTGGAAAGAAACGAACGACGGTAGTTCGACGAATCGCTGATGAGGACACACAGACAAAAAGCACGTTTGCTCGGCCTCAGTTTGGCAGAGGCTCATTGAAAAATGTTGTAGGTACACTGCACTCTATTTGTTTCAAAATAAATCAATTTCTAAGTTGTCTTAAGTCAAATTGTTTTAAATTTAACTAAATTAGTAGTAAAGTATGCCAATATTTGTTACACCAAATTAGTATCCCTACATACATAATGAAATATATTTTTATAATGTGCTTATTACTTATTTGGTGTCATAAATAATGTTTTAGGAATTAATTTATTTTTGGACGGAGTAGTACTTAAAAATTACCATTTGGAGCTGTCATTGCTGGCTCATCCTCTGTTTGCTGGAACCAGCACATGTACCCAAATTATTTAGTCCGTTTGCTTAATCAACTAGAAGGTCTTCTCTACTGGTTCTTTGACCTGGATCGACCGCGCACTAGTTTAGATATTGTTCGCATCAATCTTGATATGCATCACCTACCTCACCGGGTGACTGGGTCCTTCCCTCTCCACCTCTCCTTACCTCTCGTCGCCATTTCTTCAACGAGAGCGTGGCCATCTGCAAGATTTCTTCAGGTTAGTGACTTTGGTTCTGCTAGCTATTTATGATGCTGAAAGGTTTTCGAAAAGTTCCCACCACATGGATCATTATAGTTCTGAGTTTACTACCAATTCTAGCCTGATGACCAAGTTATGTAAACTATGTATATATATGGTCCGATAATTTACAAATCAGCATGGATTTTCATCATATATCCAATATCCTCAAGGGATTCTTGGATTGTGTGTCCATGGGTGCAAAGGATGTGAATTGTGTGGTAGCTAGCGAACAGTAAGGTGGCAAACGTTGAATGGGTCAAACAGATTCGTGCTGATATAATAATCTTTCTATTAGTCATGTTACATGTTTAGTCTCGTTCGTTAAAACTGAAGATTTTTTAGTTTCATGTATTTGCAGTACAAAAAAACGTTTGGTTCTCTTCTTATTCTAACTGTAGCTCAAATATTCTGAGTGTATATATGCGTAAATTAACACACTCTACACTCATCCACTCAGTGGCGGATGCAGAACATAATTGAAGGGGAGCTGGTCTCTTCTTCTTCCTCTCTCTCTCCATTTTTCTTCTTTCCTCCACCTCTTCTTCTCCCTCACCCTCCCCATATTTTCATTGATGCACCAGCTGTAAGGGGGCTGGAGCCCCCCAGCCCCCCTTAGATCCGCCCCTGCATCCACTCACTCATGCAGCACACCCAGATGCCAGATG